AAATTTGAACTATTTTATCGGACGATCCAAAGAGCTTCCCTCGATCAGATGACATTTAATGGATATTTAAGTGCCTTAACTATGTCTAATTTGAGCAATATTGGGCTCGTTGGATTTGTTTTGTCGGGACGCTCGATCAAACTATGAACTTGCTAGATTCGACACCCATTTGACATTTTAAATGTGTCCGAAAATCCTCTAATAGTAATTTTAATGATTTGATCTGGGTTTGATCTGACTCAGATTAGAGTAATTTTTATATCATTATGTCCGTCTAATCGAGTCAGTCAGTTTAACTATAACTTTATTGAAATCGGAGCTCTGGATGACTCTTAATTGAAGTTTTGAATATATCTTGCTTAAAATATTGCATCGAGATTCATGCCGGAAGATTAAAATTTGTTGGCGGCGTATCAAGAATAATAACAGAAGATTTTACTGGTGCCCAAGAAACTAAACATATATAATTATCATTTCTTCAAATGAATAGATGAAAATGAATAATTTGTTTATAAAAAGCCAAAACTCAAGCATCTGTTTGGGATCACTTTCTGTGATGATTTATATATTTTTGAATTTTTACTTTTTTTAAGATAACTATATTTTTTATAAGAAAATCGGTTCGCGTTCGCTCCAATATTAAGCTCCCCGCCAATTGAGTTCACAAAGTCATCCTTGCTCCACCCAGCACAAATAATTATCGGTGTAGGTGGCGTCGGGCGGCAGGCTGGAGCCAAGAGGCGAGCAGCGGGCGCAGCTGCGTGGCCCGACGACGACAATATGTGGCGGTGGGCATCGACAGCGATGACGACAGATGGAGAGCGACGAGTGGCGGACAGATGACAGCGACAACGACAGGTAACGAGCGGGCAAATTTTGACAATGTCAGAAGGCAATCGACGACGCGTCGGACAGCGACATGGCGACTGCGGATACGAGCAATGGGCGATGGTGGCCAGCGAGCGACGCTGGAGGGTGACGAAGGCCAGCTAGCGACGACAGACAACAAGCGACGTCGGAGGGCGGCGGTAGCGAGCGATGTGTAGCGACCTACAGGCGACGGCAGGCGGCGGCCTCGGCAGACGACGTCTAGTGTAAAACTCGATGGATGGGCGACAGCAAGCGGCAACCTCGGTAGACCGGCAGTGTGCATTTTCTCATGGTTTATATATAATGTGTTCAGACATGAGCTCTTTAAGGAGTTATAAATACAGTTAAAACATGTTTTCTCTGTTTTGGATATTTTAAAAATAGATGTGTTATTTCAAAAAATAAAAAATAATTAAACAACTAATGTTTTTCTATTTGATTTCTGTTTTTTGTTTTCAAATATAAAAAAAAATTGATCCCAAACAATCCCTTTAAGGGCTTTGGCTGGTTGTTTATGTTATGCAAAAATAATGCAGAAGCGTAAAAAATTTTACATAACAGCAATCAAACACAAAAGATTTATGTTGTTCGACGTTAAATTGATTCGTCTACGTTCACGGGGATGGAGAATTCACAAATACTATATGAAGAGAAATAAAAACAACTTGAGGTTACAACCACACTTCTCACCATGCTTCTCTCATAAGCCCTAAGTTTTTTTCATAAAGAGGGCTTAGAACATATAAAGAAAAAACCAAAAAAAGAAACAAATCAATAAAATAAACCCATTAAATAAAATTCATAAATACAACAATCTTCACCTCATCTCTTACTTCTAAATAAGTGTTAGATGATCAACCGAGCTTCAACTCCAAATCAGCTGCATCAAGATAGTTGCCTACGTACCCCCCTCCTGAAGTGATCAAGCTCGTGTAGTTCTTCAAAATGACATATTGGGCAATCAATCCTGAGTTTGGTGTTTACCAAACTTTGCAAAAGAACTTCTTGACTGGTAGTACTTTTATGAGCATGTCCGATGCATTCTCCTTCATATACATCTTCTTCAACAGAACCTTGCCCTCTTCAATCAAGTCCCAAACAAATTGGTACCTTACATCAATGTGCTTGGTACGAGCATGATGAACTGGATTTGTAACCAAGAATATTGCATTCTAACTGTCATTGAACGTTGTCAGGGACTCCTGATTAACTCCAAAATCATCTAATAGGCCCTGCATCCATATTGCTTCTTTCATCGCCTCTGTAACAGTCATGTACTTAGCCTCAACAATAAACAAAGCATCAGTTGACTGAAGAAATGACCTCCAACTAACTGGACCTCCTACCAATGTGAATGAATAACCCCTCAAATATCTACTTTTATGCATATCACATGCATAGTTTCAATCAGAGTAGCCTTCACACAAATCTACACTGGATAACCGTCTCCCAAACATCAAGCCAACATCAACTATACTCTTCAGATACCTCTGAATAATTTTCACAACCTGTCAATGACTTCTTCCTAGATCACAATGAACCTGCTCACAACACCAATTTCTTGTGCAATGTCTGGTCTAGTACAAACCATGACATAGCATAAAAAACTGACCACGTATCTTTCATCTCATGTTTATCTTTTGGACATTGATCTGAACTCAACTGAAAGTGAGATGCAAAGGGTAGACTCACATCCTTGCTCGAGTTATCAACCTTAAATTTCATCATCACCTTCAGATCATAAGCACCTTGCGAAAGCCAAACCTTTTTCAGCTGCATTGTCCCTAAGAATTTCCATGTCAAAAATTCTGCAAGTTTCACCCAACTCCTTTATTTCAAAATGTTTGGATAGGTGATTATTTATCATATCAACCTCAATCTGACTGACAAATGCAATCAACATATAGAAGCAAGTAAATGAACTCATCTTTGACCAACTTCTTGAAATATGCACGATGATATTCTCCTTGTGTGCTCATGTTCTCTCATGAACTGATCAAATTGTTTATACAACTATCGTGGTGACTGCTTCAACCCATATAAAGACATGTCCAATTTGTAAAACCAAGTATTTTGATGCTCCATATCCAAATGATTACAACAAATAGATTTTCTCTTGTAGTTCTCCATGTAGGAAAGTAGTATTTACATCAAGTTGTTTCAAGATTAGACCGTACAGTGCTACAAGTGCTAGGAGAATAATGATTGAGAGATACTTGACCACTAGGGATAACATTTCGTCATAATCAATCCCTTCTCGTTCCGTAAATCATTTGCCACTAATATGTCTTTTACTGCACATCAATTATGTGAGACCCTTCTTTGCATACACCCATTCACACCTAATGGCTTTCCTTCTTGAAAAAGATTCACCAATCTCCAAGTACCATTCTTCCGAAGATACGTCATCCCTTCATCCATTGTAGCTCTCTAAATATCACAGTCTGAGCTCCCCACTGCTCCTTTGTAGTGACAAGAAATTTCTGTATCTATGCTTGAAAGTGCAAATGCAACGTCAACGTGATCTCTCAACCAAGCTGGTTTTGGGACATCCTCCTAACAATAGATTCATAAGCAGGAATCTCAACCTCAACATCTTCTTCCACTTTCTCGAAAGAACTATCAACAAATACCTCCTAAATTGCAACTAAATCAGATATCTGAGTTGGAGAGGATTGACTTTGTGGAACAAGCAGAGTTGCATTAAACTCCAACTTCTGCTGCATTTCTGTGATCCCAATTTAGCTCTCCACCTGCTTTGAGTCCCAATTTCTCAACAAGTTTGTTTTGTCAGATGTATCATCCCTGCTTATGACAATCTTTCGGTCTGACGAATCATATAACTTTAAGCTCTCGACTCTACGCCCGAAGCAATAATGATCACCAAATACTAATTTAATTGAATACAAGCAACACAGATTTATAAACAATTAAAATTGCTAATTAAAAATAGTATATCATTTCGAGCCAAAATTAGCCAAAAACAAACAAACAAAATTTTGTTCGTGTTCGACAAGTTAGCTTATCGATCGAATAAAACATGAGAAACTTAACAAGCCAAACAAGAGCTACTCTAGTGCAAAAAAAGATATTCTTCTTTTACTCTTGGAAAGCTGAAACATTTGCGGAAGAAGGCAACTTGAGCAGCTTTCTGCAAGTGTTCAGAAGCTTTCCTTAGGCACTTTGGTGAGGGAATAAATCAAGGAATTTTCTTGCTGCCAAATTGTCGCCTGAGTTCACCGGATCTCGCTACACCTTGCAACCGCCGTTGAAACCTTCTGAATCTGCCATCAAAGTAAGTCAATCATGTGCCCCCACAAAACGGCGGCAAAATACATCAGATTTGCTGCCCCAACGCCAATTACACTCCGATCACGAACCCAAAGCTATAATGTCAACTGTTGTACAAAAATAATGAAAAAGCAAAAAAATTCTCACACAGCAATCAAACAAAAAAACTAATATAGTTCGACATTAAATCGATTCGCACATATCCACAGGAGAGAGATTTCACTAGCACCAAATAAAGAGAGAGAAAAATGACTTTGGGTTAGAATCACACTTCTCATTTACTCCTCTCATAAGCCCCACATTTTTTTTCTAATAGAAGAGACTTAAAGCATATAAAGAAATAACAAAATAAAAAATAAATAATAAAATTAACCATTTAAATCAAAATCATAAATAAATCAGTTTCAAGTAGCCAAAATAATATATTTAATATTTTTTATCATAAGTACTGAAAAGTCTCCCTTTAAAAGTACCGCCATGTTAATCACCATAGATGTAGACTTCAGAAGTTCAGGCTAAACTTCTGTGAGATGTGCTAAAATTAGTTATCTTGATGTTCCCAGAATTCAATCACGTCCATTGGCAGCGTCTGAATTCAGTCCAACTGCATGATGCGCACAGCGTCATAGTTGCAACTAACGAATAATTCAAATTCTGATATTTCATGAGCAATAAAACCCAATGCCCAACAGCCAGAAGTATTCGAGGAGCATTCCGATATATCATTCCCTATGTTTATATTTATTTAGTAGCTTTTATAATAGAAATATCCATATATAATTCATATAAAGTTAAATGTTTAATAGATACCTTCAAGTTTATGATAGCAACCATTTGACTTTTCCACAAAAGCAACCATAAGCTTATTTATATTCAGGAATTGGATTTAGTCAAAACAAGCCAACCTGGCGTGCTCTGCATCTAAGCTACTTGCCTAGATGATAATTTCAGGAACATAACAATCATAGTTCCAGACATGGACTACGTGCCTTTACCCCAAACAGTACACCACTAAAAGTGGAAGGTTTTCATTCCTTATGCAACACAAACATAATCTAAGCTCGATATTAAAATTCCACAGAGAATATTACGCTTGAAATAAGTCATAAAATCTGCTCAATCGAAGAAGCTTCGCCGGAAAGCTGACAATGTAGAAGTTAATCAACAGCGAGTGGCACAGAATTCGCCTGTCAAACAGAAAATAATAGGATTATGTTTTAAGAGATGAAAGATAGAGATCACTAGGGATGTAACTCAGCCAAACTGATCTGAGCCGGCTCAGGCACGACTCGAATAAATGGAAAAAATCCCGACTCAACACGTTAGCTAGTGAACCAGCTCATTTACAAAAATATTGACATAAAATATACTCTCAAAATGTATTAAAATTAAAAATTTTATCTTTCAACTAATAAAAATATTTAAAATATAATATTTTATATTTTATATCAAATAATTTCAACTAATAAAAATATTTAAAATATAATATTTTATATTTTATATCAAATAATTTCAACTAATAAAAATATTTAAAATATAATATTTTATATTTTATATCAAGCAATTTATTAGTTTTCTCAATTACCAACTCCAACAGGGCTTGTTAGCTAGTGAACGGGCTCATTTAAAAATATAATAATATAAAATATATTCAAAGTTCATTAAAATTAAAAATATTACCTGTAAACTATTAAAAATATTTAAAATATGACATTTTATATTAATTAATTTCTTATTTTTGTCTCATAAGCGAGCATCATATTTTCATTTTAATATAACATTGGCTAAATTAATATTATTTTTTCTATTTCATAATAAACAAGTCGGCTTGTGAGTCAGCTCAAACTCGTAGACTTATTAAGCTTGAACTCGAATAATTAATCAAGTTCAATCTCAAGCCGAGGGCAGCCCGAGCTTGACTCGTTAATACCCTTAGGGATAGGAGCAACGTGAGTGCCGGACATACCAGCTCCCGGAACTTTAAGATGTAGAACATTTCCAGATATCGCCGTGTCTCGCGCCTTTCCAGCTTGGAAACAAACTTCCAGAACCCATAAACCCCAGCGAGCGTCATCAGCCTCTCTGAATAAATTTTCCATGTGTACCTACAAGTTTTCAATGAAGATAAAATCAAATATCAAAGGCAAACAATAACACATCAATGCTTTGAAACTATTCAGACTTCAGGGAAAATATGAAGTTCAGCAACAAAAAAGTAAAAATAAAATAAAACCTTTCATAAATTCGCTGCAGTCCTGCTTTGGAAATTTCATTCCAGTAGCCAGATTCTTTCTTGCAACGTTCAAAAAATTGTATCATGAGGGTTGTAGCCTGCTCTGAGTGATATGGGTCAATATGGAAACCAGATATTCCATGCTCAATAATCTCGGCGGGGCCGCCATGGCATGTTGCAAATGTTGGAAGCCCACAAGTCATGGCTTCAACAACAGTCAATCCAAATGCTTCATAGAAAGCAGGCTGTAGGAAAAAGTAAAATTGGGCAAATTACATAGCAGGAGGGGAAACAAAATCAGCAGATAACAGCGAGGTTACACCTGCACAAATATGCCTCTGGTATCAGCAATGTAGCGATAAAGTTCTCCATTACGGGCCCTGTTTGTCTGGGATGAAATCCAACGGAATTGTCCATCCAAGCTGTATTTACTAATGAGGTCGTGCATCTTCTCGATCTCTTTAATTTCTTCTCTGTCACCAGATTTTTTCACATCATTGTAGCCACCAATTACAACCAAGTTGGCGAGCTCTCTTAGCTCACTGCTCTTGCCATACAATTCAACAAGACCTGTTAAGTTCTTCACACGGTCCAGTCTAGCCATGGAGAATATGATTGGTTTTGATCGATCATCTAATCTACCACTGCAATCACATCCATCATGTACTGCTACAAGTTAATTTCTAATAGAAGGTTCAATCAGGGCTGGCATTTTCTATGAGTTTTTTATTTCTATTGATTAAACATCACAAGATCAAGAAGGAAAAATTTTGGAAAAGAAACTAGTGCAGAATATTGCCCCCGGAATTAGTCAATGTTATATGGATGCAGCATGGCATAATGTAAGGAATGTTATTAATAACCTTTTAAGTTTTACTGAAAAGCTGTGGGCGATTTAAATACAACAATTATGCTGAAACTGTGCTTAGATTCTAAACATCAGTTTAGAAATCTTTGTTCGATGTAATTGTCGGTTCCATCAATAGGAGATGGTTGGAGTATTCAACCAAAAAGTTCGTTAAGATTTAAGAATTTTTAAGTATTGATGAAATTAAAATGCGCTCTAAAACCATTATAGAAACAGAAGGGAAAAAGATGTCTAAAGCAAGAACTGTAGTTAAAAAATCTGAATCCTTAATTATGATTGCAAGTACTTTTATAGATCTTGACAGTGTATCAACTGATCAGGTTTCCATGGTACCATAAAAAGGCGCACACGATCAAAGTAGTTTACAAATAGTGCGTAAGAACATCATAACTCCAAAGTATAGTATTCGGAAAAGATTCAGTTTGAAATTACAAGAAATACTTACTGTAGTGATGCATATTATTTTACTGTTTATTCGCATGCCTAATTTCTGCAGTTCTCTCGCAACATCACTGATCGCCACAGCTTAATCTAAAGAGAAGAGCTGGCCAAAAAAACAGGTGCAATAAAAACCCAGTTGCAAGGTATTATAATGGGTAAGAAACCCCAAAAGCCTCAGGAGCTTTAAGATACCTCGTACTCTCTCTTGACCATATCAGTATGAAAATAAGCTAAACATTATGAGGAAAACAAATGTAAATTCATTGAAAAAAATAGAATGAGAAATTGTCATTTATTATGCCTGTTCTGCTGCTTTCACCACAAGAAAAAAAAAAGGAAATTAGATATTTATGCTATTCGGAACTAAACAAGGGGCAGAAGTTACTCTGGACAATGCTAGAAAATTTTTGCTGGTCATTGCTAAAATCCAAACAGATATGACAAGTCTGGGTTGAATTTACCTAAGACTCAAAATTAAGCAGTAAAATAAACAGAATTAATAGAGTTCAACAGAAAATAGGATACTACAATTTTACACTTCCTGAATGTATAAAATGAAATTCTTGAATATTATTATCACAATATGAAAACAATACTTATCTTAACCATCATCTTCACACTTAATTCAAATGGGATGGCATTATGAATTTTCATTATCCAACGAGTCCCATTAAATGTTGCAAGAAGTGTTAAATCTATTCTACACAAATTTCGCACAAATTCTAACCCTCTTACCAATAGTCCATCCCTTCTTTCTTTCTAATCACTCAACATCAACTTTACTAACCATCCAGTCGTGCGTTATTTTATACTTAATTGTACATGTTCAAACCGGATAAGTCTATTTTTGATTTCTTATATGCAATAAATGCTATTTCAACCATTCATCTAATATAATTTGCAATCTGAACTGTCTAGGATTGGCACACCTCCAACTTAACGTTCTCATTCCTACCATGCTTGGTTTTCGCTATACTTGTACTATAGAATCAATTTGACACCAAAAAAAATTTTTATTATCATAACAATTTGATAAAGGAATGAAAGACCCGTGGAGCCAATGTGATGTCATTGTTTTATGTGACCCCACGTTAGGGCTTCAAACTAGTTTATAGAAACTAAAATCTATGGTTTGATGAAATTATGATCTCTAATTTTTTTTTGCCAGCAAAGAAGGCTTTCATGCATCCATTAGATTAGGGCTCCTTAAGAAATTAAAAAAAGTAAGTATTCTAGTGGATAGCCAATCAAGAAGGATGTAACATAAGATGGAGATGCAATCAAGGTTAGCAAATTGTAAGCTTCACCAAGAAAATTAAAGATCCAAAACACTACTAGAATTTATTGATTTTTCCCTCGTGATTCCATCAATAGGTACTTCTCCAAAAAGAAATGAATCTTCCCATCAAACAGAGCTAGTGGAAACCTGTGTCAGCTGCAGGTTCTGGACTCCTAAACATACCTTAATTGAATGTTGAAACAAAGTGGAAAAGAGGCATGTTCTCAACATTCTTGGATGAAGCGAATTAATCACTTTTTCAAACATTGAGAACTCACAAAACTATGTGAAAAGCTGATAACAAGGCTCATTAAACGAGTTAGTGTTGTCACGTGATAACTGGGTGAAACATCATTGGATGGCATAGTTTAGGTTGCTTCGCTAATTTTAAAGAATGGCATCAAAATGTTTTGCTTGTACATCAAAGGCTTGAGATCAGTATTGCCTCTGCATCTCTATCCCAATAAAAGCACATTGAATTTTGGAGACGAAGACAATAGAGATGATTGATCCTCCTTTGCTCTTCAAAACAAAGAATGATGATTAGAGAAGGAGAAATGCTCCACATAAACTCAAGAGTATTAGTTGAATTGCAAAAAGAGATGTATTTCATTTTTCATTGTGCATAAAATGCTCCAAATGCAAAAATAATTTAACCAAATTTTAGTAAGTATGATAACTACATTGCCAAAAGCATTATATGGATAGGAACAAAACTAACTCGTATTTTGATATATAGATGAAAAGAGAAAATCAAAAGAGATGAGAAAAAATAAACAGAGAATTACAAATTCTAACAAAACAGTATACCTCAATATACTTTAGGACTCTCGAAGGAGTAGTGGGTGTGGAATGGACTGTAGAACAAAGAAAATATAGCGAAGACCGGACAACTTAGGGTCTGTTTGAGGCAGCTGTCGGCCAAATTTTCGAAAATAAAATTTTAAATTTAAATTTAATATTTAACGTAATCTTGATTTTGAAAATAATACTCTTTATTTTGGAAAACAAAGATACCAGATAGATTTCATATATCTAATAGTTTAGATATCTGAGCACGATAGCACATATGATATATCATCTCGAAAAATAAACATATCACTCGTTAGTAGGTTTAACTATTTAAACTTAAAAATTTATGACTCTATTTTGGTCTGCGAGTTTTATAGCCGACAAATTTTCTTATCTAATACGCAGATTAAACAAGGTTTAGGTTAACCTGGGTTCTTAATTCTCTATAGAGGCAAGTCACTATAGTTAATTATATCTTAGGCAACCGAAGTAACCTAAGAAAACTCTCGATTAAAATCGGTGTTTCGTCTTTAAGATTTCAACAATTGCGTATAGAAAAATCAAACGGGAAAGGCTCAATGTGAAACAATTATTTTTATATAAAGGAGATAAGAGTATGAGATATTGAAGATACTGAAGAAGCTTCAGCGATATCTCAAACTAACCTACGATTCAACTTTACAACTTTGAAAGGAAAATTATACTTAATATTTCAGTCCTGCAAATTATTTAGACATTCAGGACATATGTCTGCAAGTTATATGCAAAATAACCCGAGAAAATATGAGGATTTATTTCATACCGAACAACGCCCTAGGAACCCTAAAAAGAGTTTAAAACTTATATCGTGTGATATACAATCGTAAGAAGTCCTAAAGGACAATGTAAGGATTTACGTAGCACTAAACGAACAACCTCGAAGTCCTACGGGTGTATGTTATTTAAGTCTATGACAGTTCAGTTGACGCTCCTTCCATCTTCTATTGTCCCCTCGACCGCTACCCAGAGATGAATCGTCACTTGAACGCCTCGTCATTTTGTTTAGAGAAGAGGTAAAACAGAAGAGAGAACAGATCTTATTATTAGTTTATAGGAGTTTGAAAACATTATTTATAGTTTTGAAAATATTTTATTATGGATTTTTAAAACGTGTTAAAATGAAAAATGTGTTTTGGTTATATGCTATAGAGTTTAATCCTAAGCATATGTTCTACATTTACTACATTAGGATATTGTATAAACATGTCAGAAAAGCAGTAACTAAAAGCATGAGTACAGATGAATGAATACAGTACCGTGCAGTAAAAAAATGAAAGAACTATATAGTAAAGTACATTAAAGAGAAAGAAAGAACCGTGTAATAAAATACAGTAAATAAAAGAAAAGAGTTGTATAGTAAAGTACAGTAAAGAGAAAGAAAGATCAAGGTGTACCTAGTTGATTCTATTGATACTTCAAAACAAATTACAATTGCATAACACAAATGTATATATAAAGAAAAGGGGTAAGACAAACATTTGCAATGCACTTATGAAAGACTTGAGCACGCATATATTTTTTTATAAAAGTTAACTGATAAGCATATGAAAAATCAAAATAGGGTATAAGAATATAAATTGGGGATGGGCTCAGCCTAGACTTTTTTATTTGTCACGATCCCACAGGCAACTGAAATATCGAAGTCAATATATATCAATATAAATCAAAAGCCACCAGCAAATCATTTTAGAATAGGGCAATTCTAATCCCTATCGCTTAATTGAAGAGTGAATTTGTAAGTAATATTTTAACTTTTAAACTAAAAGTGTAGTGTATTTGTATGTAGTATATATTGCTAGTATTTGTTGTTAGTTCACAAATTTCTTAAGAGGGTTGGAACTACCAACGAATCAAATGATGAAAAGAGCGTCTTTAATTGATTATTGATTAAAATATTTCAACTATGAAGAAGAGCTGAGAGTGGTTTTTACATCATCGCCCTTAACCCGCATTTCCAACTTATAGGCCAATATGATATTCCATATGCATTTCAAAATTGCATAAAACCAATCCATATAATTTAAGATTTCGCATAAACCCAAACCGTAAAACTTTATTTTTTGCATAACAATAACCTCCAATTTTGACATCAGTATGAGGACTTATATAATTTCAGTGAAAGTAATTACATATACACCACCAAATTCAGAGATTTAGAGGACGAAAGCTGAAATTCATCAAAGGAATCAGATGTTTTATGTGTGAACACCCACAAATTTAGTGGT